TGCTGAACCTGGGAAATAATGACATTTTGCAGGATGCACAGGAATGCACACACAGTGGGGAGCAAACACACAAGGACAAGGTGACAGATAAGTGACACGAAAGGAGGAGCCTCTGGCTGAAGAAGCTACATGGCATGTGCACGCCTTCATTTATCAGCAATAATCACTTGTGTGCTCATAACTTATTCTTTGCAAGAAGAGCTCCCTGCCTTTACCGTTGTCTCCTGCTTGTTTTGGAGCCCATTAGCCTTTTCTGCAGTTACTATATGCTTCCTTTTCTTGCAACAGCCAGCTCCAGATTTGAAATAGTTTATCTCAAGTGCATTCTACTGTTAGACTTCTAGTAAGTGCCTCCTCATAAAAATTTAAATTTTATTGCTAGCATCTCCCTCAACCACCTATAACATAAGGCTGTTCCATGAGGGTGATGGCCATCCCAAGAACCATGGACAGCATTCTGCTGCATCACTTTTAAACTGCGTTACCACCAGATCCTGTCCCTCAGATGCACCTAACAGCAACTGAAAAAACATTAACAACCCCAGAGGAAACCAGGCCCACAAGTAAAATCCTGGGGCACTGAGTCCAGGTCTCCTGTTTCCAGGCCCGTAGGGAGTTATGAAAGGCAATACAGATGGGGAACAGCGCAGACAGAGAAGCATATTTGATATCTACCAGGTAGCACAGCATAGAACAAGAAAAGTCATATCCTCCAACTCTTTACCCCTTCCAGATAAAGTGGTTAGTCAACCTCCTGAAGGCTACCTGTGAATCAACTATGACTGCTGACGCATTGTCTACTTCAGCACAGAATTCAAGTAGGAATCGCCAAATCTTTGGCTCTGAATAAGATGCCAGCAGAGCAGATTTTGGGGAGGGGGGAGGGGATGCTGGGGGCTGCCAGGCCATTCTGGGACAGGCAATCCTATGATCAAGAGCTAATCTGTTTCTTTGTTAACAAAATGAGCAAACAAAGCTCATTTAGGGTGTACTTAGTTTTCTTTATGTAGGTTTAAATGGAGTCTGGCACTTTCTGCTCAGCACCAGTGTGCTACCTTCTGAAAGAGTGCTCTCAGAATCATTCTATCCCCTTTTGTTTCTATCCCTTCCACCTGCTGTCCTGCAACACCAATATCTGACTTGCTATCACCACAGATACAGAAATCCCAACGCAGCATGTGATGTGATTGCAGAAGGATTTACGCATTGACCATATGGAAATTTTCAAAGAATGGCAACTTTCCAACAGGACTCTTTTGCTCTCAAGTTGCGCAATATGTCAGCTGATAATAATTTTCCCTGCTGGTATAGTGGAAGAATGTAACCTCTGCTGAGGTCAGGCAGGCAAGGAACGTTACCCTTCATGCACCTTCATTGTTCTTTCCTGCTATACTTCTCTAAAATCTGTAGCCACCGCTCTTTGGGCACCTGTGCTGGAACAGCCATCTTCTATAGCTTGTGTTCCATTTTAAAAGTAAAAAAAGTAAAGCAAAAAAGATTCAAAATACTTTTTTTTTCCTTGTCATATATTAGCGCTAAAACCTACGATTATTATGCTGCCAACTGAATTCACTCATTAATCTCCATTTACTTTCCTTTTATCTTGGCTTAGGGAAATAAGCAAGTCACTTTCCCTTCCCAGCAATCCTGTGTTTCTGCTGCTGCCTTAGGTCCTTTACAAGTTTAAGTCAGAGCAGAAAGGAGGATTCAACTGCAGGGGCAGATAATCTATATCCTAGAGTTTTGGAAGAACTGGCATATCAAAACATAAGCACAAGAACAAAGTTATTTTAAAGTAAATCTATCAGATTGGGTGCCCAATTGCTGCAGAATTGCAAAAGCAGCACCTGCACTGCAGGAGAAGAAAAAAAGATCTGAGAAATGAGGGGCCGGTTAGTCTGACATTGATAACGCGCACAGCTCTGGAACCAGTGTTGAAGAAAAGAGTAATGAAAGATACAGGGAATGCAAGGAAGCTGGATTCCTCTGAAGTGTATAATGAGCTGGGGAATTAGGGTAAGAAGAAGGATGTTCTTCCTTCTTCTGGCAGTACTGGAAAAGAAATATTCTTGCTGGTGTAAAGTCACTACTGGACTTCCTGAAGGACTAATCTCATTCCGTATTTTATTTATACTTGATTTATATTACTGCTCTTCCTAACATGGGATTGTTGATGAAATCTGCTGGTGAAAACGCTGGAGGCAAGAAGCAGTAGTGGCAGACTATGCAAAAAGAACTGGATGGTCACAAAGACTGGACTAACAGAACAGGATTAAAATTAGTACCACAAGGTGTGAAGTAATCTAACTATGGATGATAAGAAAAAGGAGCTATGAACTTGACAGTCATTTAGATGGGAAGGACTGAGGAAAAGGAGGACCTGGACACAAGTGATTAGCGAAACTTGTTTAGGCCAGTAAAACAAATGCTGAGAGAAGATCTGAACATTCTGCCATTATATCACAAGGACAGGCACCAGAAGAGAGCTGAAATATTTAAGGTCATTTGACAGAGGAACAAGTGGGTATGAACTGACTTTGAACAACTCAGGTTAGAAATTTACATGAGTTTTGACTACCAAAACAGTGGAAAAAGACATAGGGTAAAACCCCAGCTGAGATGAAAATGGATTTTGCCCGGACTGGGATGGGCCAGCAAGCCTCTTCTGATTTAGTGCACTTACACTGATCTCTCCCAGCAAGTAAATGCCAGCTGCCAAACGCAGGTGATAAGAGGGTGACACCCATAGATATCAGAGAAGTATAGTTAATTCCTTCATTCAGCTATCCATTTCCTATGGAAGTGCAGCTGGAAGAGACACATTGGAGACAGAACCTGACCAAGGCAGGACAGAGGGCTTTGAGATGATTTTGAGAACATTCCCAAAGGCAAGTGACAGAATGGAAAACAGCAACAGAGATGCCTGAGGAGAGAGAAGCCCATGGTGTCCTAGCAATCTTGAACTATTAGACGTATCGAGGGTGTTGCAGATAGGCCTCAAAACAGTGAACGGTCGGTGCCCTACTGAGAGAGCTATTGTACAGACATATAGCTGACAATCCCTGCCCTGAAGAGCTCAAAATTACAGTAATGACAAGATGTAATAGGCAGATGAAGCAATGGAACATATAAAGATTCCCTGCCCACTGCACCTCCCGCAGGTCTTTGACTGTGGGAGAGGGAAGCTGCAGATGAAGTGGTTGTTACTTGAGAAGCGCTTTTCTCCAATCACAGAATTCAATGATCAATATTACTACTCACCGCTAGCAAGCACCCAGCAAAAACAGTGAATCCTTTTGCATGAAGCCGTTTTGCCAAGGCATGTCCAAAACCTTTGTCACAGCCTGTTATTAGCACTGCCTTCCCTTCAGCCTGTATGGGGAAAGACAGTAATATAACATCAGATATTGCAATGTTGCAGGCACCAGCATGCCATGGAGCAACTTGCAGCCTTGCAGTCATGGCCAGGCAGTGTTTGGAAGGTATTACTTAGTGACTAAGCGGCGAGATATCTGATATCTGGGGTCTCCAAGGGACTAAGCTCACCTGACCTGAGCTATTTGAAGGATGGCTGTTTAATCCAAGTTAGCTGTCAGGTTCCCTGAAAAATCTGCAGAGTGAAAGCCACCCCCTGAAAACAGGAATTATCCTACACAGCTGGATGCCTAGAGAAAGCAGAGACAGCTAACTCTGACCTGATGCATAACTTTGGACAAGCATCACTCTGTATGCAGCAAAATCCTGAGTGCAACGAAGCCAGGTCATAATCCTCTCCGTCTCAGCTCCCTGCCCCTGTTCATGGCGGTGGGTACAGGCCTAAATGACAATTCCAGGTGCAAATCACAATTGGCACGTACCTGTCTGCATGCTAACTTTATTGCAATCTAAAATCTAGCAATTTTAGCAGAGCAACTGCTGATTCAATGACAATGTTCCTGCATAAAAATGTAACCAGGTCACAACTGTTGAAAAATCCAAAATTTAGTCTCAATTGCTGATTTGTAACAATTTGCGTTGCCTTGATACAGTAGCCGGAACAGAACCTCTTTCAAGTAGCAGTGGCCAAAACAGAACAGAAACATTTCAAAAGTCAGTGATCTACCAGCTTAGATGTATTGTAATAAAGAGTAGCATAGAAAATGTCAAAATGACAGCAGGCTGCTTGTTTGAACTGCAGAGCAGATCTTTTAGCTGCAGAGTGACTCTCTAATGTCTCTTCTGTATCTACTCCCACTCTATGCAGTGCTTTCCATTCTATATTTTAGTGATTCATGCAGGAATGTGACTGTAAATCAGAGTCCTTCTGAAAACACTGCAGTCTAACAGGAAAAAATGTATCTAATCCTACAGTTCCCTCCTACGTTATTATCTTTTTACTGATGGATAAATTGAGAGACAACTTGATACCACATCTGGTACGACACAACAGGCTCGTGATAGCTCTGGGAACAGAATCCAAAATCCTGAAGAGAATCCTGTACTGCAAACCACTGCATATTTGTCCTCTGTCTTTGCTCTCCTCTGCTCTATTCACCACAGCTGTGAGGCAATAACGTTGCAACATTTAACTGAGCTAGCAGACATCCAGCTGCAGGGTTCTAGACCTCTCCAAACTGAAACTATTATCTGTCAGACGATACCGCAAGGTAGTACTAAAAATTTCAAGACTGTAATAAGGAAGTGAGGTCACTTCCATCTCCATGGAGACATCTGCAACTAATATTCTCTTTTACTAACCAGACTAACTCTTTTACTTCCAGATTTTCACTAACAACGTCTGGAATACGAACATTCGTATTTTGTACTACTTATGCATGAATTACCCCATTTTTATCTGAAGAGGTCGCTGGACAAACAGGTACAATCTCCAGTGCTCTACATTCCTGTTTTGCTGACATGCAGTAGTGAAAGGGCAGTAAGGAATAACTGCAGGGTAATAGCGATCAGATCAGTTATTGCACAAATGCAGGATGAGTTTAAGCAGACAGCAATGAGCAAATAAGCTACACCCTGCCCTATCCTCCGTCTCATTTTGGAGGTATTGCTTTCACAGGAGAGTCATGATTTGAAATTGAAACTGAGCTGATTGAAAGTATATCCTGAATTTAGCACACAATTACCCATATAAATTCTCATTCCTACATTCAGACCAAAAGCACCCAGCTACAGGCTAATTCTACTAAGGCTGTAAAGGTAGCTACAGAGTAGCTGTAAAGGCAGCTACAGGATATAAGATAATTGAGAATTAAATATGCACTGCTCAGTACTAATCTAATTTACAGTGACACACCTCCAAGAGATGAGGATCAAGTATGAACCAGATCACAGAATTTGCCAAGGTTACCTCCTCCTACATCAATTCAGCAACCTGGGCCCTTGGAGATTAAGGGATTTGACTTTTTCTCCACCTCCTCTCCCTTATACCCTCTGGTTCTGAATCCTGAAGACAGCTGACTTCCAGAAAATACAGAAACTGAGCAGAAGATAACGATGTGTGATTATTTCCAAAGATCAGAACAAAAAGGAAAAGATGCACCACCATAGTCAGCTCCTTCATCAGCCAGTCTGATAAGGACAGAGCTCAGCTGCAAGAAATAAAGGAAGATCTATTTATAAATAGCTGAGCTGTGTTGTCACGTGCATCTAATTTTAAATCTCAGAAGCTGGTTTGCTGTCTCTGATAAAGAAAAAAAAAACAAGAATACGTACACACAACAGCAAAATATAAACAAAAAGGAGGTGCTTGCAAAATCCTCTCAGGTGTCTATAATGGGCAGAAAAGTGAGGAACGCTTTACAGTATGAGAAGGTTCCCAGGATTACTTGCTATTATCCTAATCGCTGGCAATGGAACATTTGACAGCAGTGGCATGCTTCATAACAGACTGAAGTCCCAGCAGCAGTAACGTGCATGCAAGGAAAACCCAAGGGATGTAACAGATCTCAGATCACTAGTTGCCTTCATCTTTGAGAGATGCCTAGTGGGAGAGAGAACATCCTAGCATGAGAGTAGGGAGTGATCCCATTCCCAAAACACACAGCAGAAGGGATCCTATCCTAAAAGTCTGTAAACATGGAGAAATCTGCCCATCCTCACCTTTTGAAAATCCCAAGAGGCCGCCTCACAGGTCTTATTTCTAGAGTTTGGTAAGGGTCACTCTCTTACTGCTTACAGTTTGACACAGCAGTGAGACAGACACAAAAGGCTGCCTATGCAGGCAGAGAAGACCAGCTATCACAGTGGTATTCATCAGCTTTTGGGGGAAGAGTTGGAGGTGCTCCACTCATTACTGGTCACACAGTGCTCTCAGGCAGGAAATACTACAGGGGAAACTGTGCGTACATACAGTGTTGCGAGGGCACCTGAGACCCGATGACAGTGCAAAACAAATTTTTGTATTGGAAGTGCTGGTAGGATATCTCAGTAGGGTAATACAGCCTGTATCACTGCTATGTGGTCTACGGCACTTGACCACGTGCCGTATAGTTCCAATAGAGCAATAGCTCCAATGAGTTCAGTTCATTTCAACTTGCAAACAGCTCAGATGCATAAGCGTCATTAATTTTCCTAATGGGATACGATTGCTTTGTTAAACTGTAGAATTTATTTTACTTATGCAGGTACTCTGTCAAAATTACATACTGCCGTTGCAAAAGAGGCTAAGTCAAGCAAAGCTACTTGGATTGCCTCTTTGCCAGCCTTTCTGGGCAATTTGGGAACCCATCACGCTTGCCTAAATTCTGTATCCTTCCACTCTGTGTCACTTGTTTTCCAGATCCTGTTTCCTTTGATACTCTCCCCGACCATCTCGTTGTTATCAAACAGATGGGCAGTAAGGCTACGCTCGCTGGGGTGGCCTCACCTCCAGCTGTTCCCCGTGACACCGAAGGCAGACCACCCTCAGGAAGCACCAGCTGTGACAGAGATGGGAAACGACAGAGGAGCAGAAAGGACGGGAGAGCACAGCAGGAGTCTGCAAACAGTACAAAACCCTGATGTGGCCGTTTCAGCGGGGGCTGGACTCAGCTTGGAGCTGGAGGCCCAGGAAAAAAAAAAAAAAAAACATGCTCATGCGCAGTTCTTTCCAGGGCCTGCAGAAAGGTCGTCTGGAGCCTAAGCAAGAACTAAGCTTACTCCAACCCTGCAAGAGAACCCCAGACGTTTCATTTTTAAGAGACTTATAAAAGGAAACTAGTTATACAATTCCTTTCTGCTCACGTATGGGGATTTTTTTTTTTTTAAGAGCATAAGGGAGAAAACATTTCCAAATTTAGAATTCTGGAACAGAAAATCCACGCATCCCTTATTTCACCAATCTCGTGAAGAAAAGCCATGGCTTTCACAGGAGCAGAGGTCAGCATTGCAGCAACGCGGCCTCACTCGCGCTCCTTCGGCGGCGCTGACAGACTCCCGAAAGCCCTTTCAAAGGCCAGCGCCGCCTCTCCCTC